GAAACGGCTTACTCTGATGTCACTGCACACTGTGAGCTTCTCACAATGTGCATTAGAAGCTGCAGCAGGTCAGATAGAACTGGCCTTATTTCCTGGCTGCAGGACACCCAGCTTTATCTAGCCTTTCCCAACCTGACTGGCCCTGGCCTGCAACTTTCATTCATTAGATTGCATTTCTCCCAATCATGGAGGCATCAAATGTTGGCATTACCTAGGGTGCTCTGCTTCGGAATGCCCATTCTTTCAGACTGACATCAGCCCATCCAGACATTTTGATATTTGCATAACTCCTCCCAGGAACCATTTCATTGCTTGCATGAGGTCTGATGACTCTTGAGAGGAGTATTAATACTAACACCCATGAAGGGGCACTATTCCTTCCACTGTCACCAATGATGGGACACTATCTTCCACTGACACCAATATCAGGGCACTATTTATTCCACTGATACCAATGATGGGACATTATCCCTCCCACTGATACCAACAATGGGGCACTTTTCCTTCCACTGGCACCAATGATGGAGCATTATTCTTCCCATTGACACCAATGATGGGGCACTATTCCTCCCACTGACACCAACAATGGGGCACTTTTCTTTCCACCGGCACCAATGATGGGGCATTATTCTTCCCATTGACACCAATGATGGCGCACTATTCCTCCCATTGACACCAATGATGGGGCACTTTTCCTCCCACTGATACCAATGATGGGACACTATTTTCTCCCACTGATACCAATGATGGGGACACTATTTCTCCCACTGATACCAATGATGGGGCGCTATTCCTCCCACTAATACCAATGATGGGGCACTATTCCACCCACTGATACCAATGATGGGGCGCTATTCCTGCCACTGACACCAATGATGGGGCGCTATTCCTCCCACTGACACCAATGATGGGGCACTATTCCTCCCACTGATACCAATGATGGGGCACTATTCCTCCCACTGATACCAATGATGGGGCGCTATTCCTCCCACTGATACCAATGATGGGGCGCTATTCCTCCCACTGACACCAATGATGGGGCGCTATTCCTCCCACTGACACCAATGATGGGGCGCTATTCCTCCCACTGACACCAATGATGGGGCGCTATTCCTCCCACTGACACCAATGATGGGGCACTATTCCTCCCACTGACACCAATGATGGGGCACTATTCCTGCCACTGACACCAATGATGGGGCGCTATTCCTCCCACTGATACCAATGATGGGATACTATTCCTGCCACTGACACCAATGATGGGGCACTATTCCTCCCACTGACACCAATGATGGGACACTATTCCTCCCACTGATACCAATGATGGGGCACTATTCCTGCCACTGACACCAATGATGGGGCACTATTCCTCCCACTGATACCAATGATGGGGCACTATTCCTCCCACTGATACCAATGATGGGGCACTATCTGCCACTGACACCAATGATGGGGCACTATTCCTCCCACTGATACCAATGATGGGGCACTATTCCTCCCACTGATACCAATGATGGGACACTATTCTTTCCACTGACACCAATGATGTGCACTATTTATTCCTCTTATACCGATGATGGGACACTATTCCCCACTGATAACAATGATGGGATCAAAAGTGTTTATTTATTTATTTCAGGTACTTATACAGCACCGTCAATTTACACAGTGCTTTAAATATATTATATATATATATTTAACATTCACATCAGTCCCTAACCCTCAAGGGGGGTGTACAATCTAAGGTCGCTAACTCACATTCATACATACATATACTAGGACCAATTTAGACAGGAGCCAATTAACCTACCAGCATGTATTTGGGGTGTGAGAGGAAACCCACGCAGGCACAGGGAGAACAAGCAAACTCCAGGCAGGTGGTGCCGTGGTTGGGATTTGAACCAACAACCCGAGTACTGCCAGGCAGAAGTGCTAACCATTTAGCCACGGTGTAATTTTTCACCCCACTGACAATGGCAGACTGGTGTGTACAATATATAAAGGTCTGTGTACATTGATGGCACTATATAAAGATCTGTAATAATAAATTGTATCCTCCTTGGTGGTACTGAATCATTTGGAAACAACTGGGGAGAATGTAGGAAAGCTGGTTCACCGTTCAGTAAAAGCTTAATAAAGCAGCAGACGCTAAAAACAAATCAAATTTTGAGATGGAAAACTGAAAAAAACATGAGACATAAATGTTTGACTTACAACATAAAGAATGGAATAATGTGATTCAGGAAATTGATCTGAATATCTCGAAGGGGTCAGGGGTGACATTGTCCACAGTTTCCCATAGGGGGGTTTATTGTGGCTCCCTCTGGACGTCTGGGGCCGGTGTTTGATGGACATGTCTTTATAAGTATGCTCCTGACCTTTACAGCCATAGACATTCAGAAAATGTGCATTTTTGTTAATCACAAGGATCAGTATAACATCATATGGCGCCCTATGAAGTCCCGGGAAGATGAAGGACCAAGAAAGGACAGAGGAGAGCCGTCAGAGACTGATAAGGGAAGCTGTGGAGATGGAAGGAGAGAGAGCTCCAGGGAGGGAGAGGGACCAGGAGAGCCGCCAGAAAGGGGTCAGTCCATTCAAGCGGAAATATTATTGCAGGGGGAGATTTATTGGCGGCACACCACATTAGCGCTGGCACAGTGGGGCACTAGGTTTGTGCCCTGCCTGAGCTCACAGATAAATTAAAGACATCTGGAGCGGGAGAATGGAAAGAGGAGATTATTAATACTGAAATTTAGAAGCCAAGGTCTGAGCCTCGAGAATCCATCACAGCCGGCAGTTACTGTTCAATAAATTAGGCGAGATAAGGATTGAAGGATTGTGCATTAAAGGAGGCGTGAGCTCCCGGCCCCTCTCCGGCCCATTAACCATTTCATCTTCCAATCCCGCTCGGCTCCACGGCGTTCCATTTATACCGTCACCTTTCTGGATGTAACAGCTTTAGAACTGTCTTCAAGGAAAAATATATACTGTGTGTGTGTATATATACAGTTGCAAGAAAAAGTATGTGAACCCCTTGGGATTACGTGGAGTTTTGCATGAATTGGGCATAAAATGTGCTCTGAACGTCATCTAAGTCACAACAATAGAAGAACACAGTCTGCTGAACATAATACTACACAAACATTAGATGTTGCCATGGTGTAATTGCACATAACATGTAAACATTCACAGTGCAGGGAGGAAAAAGTATGTGAACCTTTGGACTTAATAACTGGTTGACCCTCCTTTGGCAGCAATAACCTCAACCAAATGTTTCCTGTAGTTGCAGATCAGACCTGCACAAGGATCTGGAGTCATTTTGGACCACTCCTCTTCACAAAACTGTTTGTGTAGCAATATTCTTGGGATGTCTGGTGTGAATCGCTCTCTTAAGGTCATGCCACAGCATTTCAATCGGGTTGAGGTCAGGACTCTGACTGGGCCACTCCAGAAGGCGTATTCTGTGCTGTTGCAGCCATTGTTTTGTTGAATGACTTGTATGCTTTGGGTCATTGTCCTGTTGCATCACTCATCCTCTGCGGAGCTTCATTTGGCGGACAGATGGTCGTACGTTTTCCTGCAAAATGTCTTGATAAACTCTGGAATTCATTTTCCCATCAATGGCAACAATCCGTCCAGGCCCTGAGGCAGCAAAGCAGCCCCAAACCATGATGCTCCCTCCGCCAAGGGGCTCACATACTTTTTCTTGCAACTGTATATATATAATTATAATAATGAGCATCCTACAGTTTTTCAACATTGTACCAGGCTTGGAATTTTCAATCTTTTTAAATCTTTGGCTTTCATCAAAACAATCCCTGGTGATCCTGCCCTTGAAAGTCCTTATTCAGGTACTTCCTGTTATAGGGTGACAACGTTTTGTCTCCCATTTTGGAAGGATTTTCTCTTGATTCCTGTTTTGGCTATGAGACAGGGAGTAAAGGGAAATCTCCCAATGGGACACAGAGGGCAAAAACAGTGGTACACAAGTGGTGAAATTTTTTTTCACCTTAATTATTATTATTATACAGGATTTATATATTATTATTATACAGGATTTATATATTATTATTATACAGGATTTTATATATTATTATTATACAGGATTTATATAGCACCAGCAGTTTGCTCAGCGCTTTACAATATAACGGGAGACAGTACAGCAACAATACAGTTCAATACAAGAGGGTTAGGAGGGCCTGATCCTGGGAGCTTACAATCTAGGAGGGAGGGGCTAGTGGTACAAAAGGTAGTAACTGTGGGGGATGGACTAGTTGGAAGAGTAGAAGATTCCATTATTAGCTGAGGGCAGGATAGGCTTCCCTGAAGAGAAAGGTTTTCAGAGATCGCCTAAAAGCAGAGTCGGCAATAGTCTGATAAATTGGGGTAGAGCGTTCCAGAGGATGTGGGAAGCACTGGAGAAGTCCTGGAGACGAGCATGGGAGGAGGAGTCAGGGAGATAGAGAGCAGGAGGTCGTGGGAGGAGCAGAGAGGATGGTTTGGGTGATATTTAGAGACAAAATCAGTGATGTAATTTGGGGCGGAGTTATAAATGGCTTTATACGTTATTGTTAATGTTTTGAATTTTATCCGTTGGGCAATGGGAAGTCAGTGGAGGGATTGGCAGAGAGGGGTGGAGGCCAGTGGAGGGATTGGCAGAGAGGGGTGGAGGCCAGTGGAGGGATTGGCAGAGAGGGGTGGAGGCCAGTGGAGGGATTGGCAGAGAGGGGTGGAGGCCAGTGGAGGGATTGGCAGAGAGGGTGGAGGCCAGTGGAGGGATTGGCAGAGAGGGATGGAGGCCAGTGGAGAGATTGGCAGAGAGGGATGGAGGCCAGTGGACGGATTGGCAGAGAGGGATGGAGGCCAGTGGAGGGATTGGCAGAGAGGGATGGAGGCCAGTGGAGGGATTGGCAGAGAGGGATGGAGGCCAGTGGAGGGATTGGCAGAGAGGGATGGAGGCCAGTGGAGGGATTGGCAGAGAGGGGTTGAGGCCAGTGGAGGGATTGGCAGAGAGGGGTGGAGGCAAGTGGAGGGATTGGCAGAGAGGGATGGAGGCCAGTGGAGGGATTGGCAGAGAGGGATGGAGGCCAGTGGAGGGATTGGCAGAGAGGGGTGGCAGATACAGAACGGTTAGTAAGGTGGATGAGTCTGGCAGCAGCATTCCTGATAGACTGAAGGGGGGATAGCCTGCGATGATGTCGGCCAATGAGGAGGGAGTTACAGTAGTCAAGGCGAGATATAACAAGGGAGTGAATACGTTGCTTAGTGGTTTCCCGAGGTTAGGAATGGCAATGCTTTAAGGCAAGAAACATTCTGACTTTATAACCACTTTAATTCACACAATGGGGAGATTACAAACTTTGTCTTGACCGGAGAGCAGCCAATCCACTTTTCATTTTTCATTTTCTAATCTGTGTAGAAAAAAATGATTTGGTGCTACAGGCATTGGCACCAGTAGAGACAGAACCTGTCTGGGACACATCTATGTCTGCACAGATACAGATTTGCGGCAGGTAGAGCCTATTCCCTGTTCTTTCTGCTTCTGACTGCAATTTCTATTTAAATCACAAGACGGCGGCTAGATTTAATGGTCAATTAGATGCACTTGACCTGACTAATTAGTGTCCACACTAACAGAACAGGGGAGAGCCGGAGCCACAATGTGTTATACAGGAAACTGGCAGAGTGAAGGGGGCATCAAAGATGATGGCAGTTGGCGTCATTATAGCAAGCCATTAAAGATGAAGATAAATCTGCTTATAATCTCCCTCCCCTCTCATCAACAAGCCAATTACATTTTTACACCTTTCTCTTTTCATTACATACCTTATATTAGAACGAGTGATGTCATCACTGGGTCTCTGGGCTTCTCTATGTAATGCGCACAGGTCATGGCTGGTGGGAGGGGCCTGTAGGGTGTTAGAAATAGCTTTCTGAAAACATCACATCACTCTGCCTCAGTACTCCTCTCAAGAGTCCTCATGGGCTGGCTCTTGGGAAGTTATGCAAATATCAAAATGCCTTGACGGCTGGGTGTCAGTCTGGAGGAGTGGGCGTTCCTAGGCAGGCTGTGTTTGCATGTGATGCTGAGCCTCCATGATTGAAATCTAATTAATGAAAAGGGCGGTCCAGGGGCAGTCAGACTCGGGAGGAAAGTGCTACATGATGCTGGATGTCCTCCGACCAAGAAATGAGGTGGGCTCTATTGGACCTGCTGCAGCTTCTAATGCACATTGTGAGAAGCTCACAGTGTGCAGTGACATCAGAGTAAGCCATTTGAGTCCAGGAGAGGAGGCGATACAACTGAGCCAGACTGGAGGGAAGGCCGGAGGTCAGATTCGAAATAAGTGAAGATACATCGGCGATGTGGTGCTAGACTGAAGGGAAGGCCGGAGGTCGAATTTAGAACTGTATAGTTGAAAATAGTCTGGAAACTTTGAGGAAATTGTACAAAGTTTGTAAAATCGGATTGTATGATGTGTGGCCGGCTTCAGAGCAATCCGTCATTAACTGTCCTTTAATGGCCGCCTAGAGGCACCAGGCATGGGAAGACCCAGAGACGGCCTATCTCACTCCCTCTCCCCAACAGGCAGTAAGCCGATTATCTGCCCATGACAGTGAAGAATCTGGCAGTGAAATCACGGGCAGATCGTGCCGCAAGCGCCCCTCCCCCCCCTCGCCCAGACAGCGAGCGTAATGAGCACTGCGTGCCCTCAGCAGACTCCTCCGCCCTCCAATCTCCAACCACCAATATGCCAATTAAACAAAATTTGGCAGACTTTCCAGATCCTAATTAAAAGGTTTATGACCATCCCAGAAAAGGAGGGGGAGGGGGACATGGGAAAGGTTCACCGGAGGATGACGGCGAGAGAGACATGCGAGCGTTGGACGCTGTTCACACTTGCAGGGGCGCAGCGTCTTTGTCGCATCATACAGGTGGGGTCCAACATAGATGGCCAGAACAGTCCCACATACTGGCCCTCCATCGTGCTGATGATGTCCCGGCATCACAGTACCAACCTCAACAGAGATACTGCACAGGCATTGAGCCATGAGTGGGTGGTCCCTGCATATTTAGAGGTGGAGCTTGTCCAGGACCTACCCATAAGAGGAGCATAAGTGGGCGGTCCAGCCGTATTTAAAGGTGGGGTCTGTCCAGGAACTACCCATAAGAGGAGCATGATGGGCGGTCCCGCCGTATTTAGAGGTGGGGTCTGTCCAGGACCTACCCATAAGAGATTGGTGGGCGGTCCAGCCATATTTAGAGGTGGGGTCTGTCCAGGAACTACCCATAAGAGGAGCATGGTGGGCGGTCCAGACGTATTAAAGGTGGGGTCTGTCCAGGACCTACCCATAAGAGGAGCATGGTGGGCGGTCCAGTCGTATTTAGAGGTGGGGTCTGTCCAGGAACTACCCATAAGAGGAGCATGATGGGCGGTCCCGCCATATTTAAGGTGGGGTCTGTCTAGGACCTACCCATAAGAGGAGCATGGTGGGCAGTCCAGCCATATTTAGAGGTGGGATCTGTCCAGGACCTACCCATAAGAGAGCATGGTGGGGGGCGGTCCAGCTGTATTTAGGGTGGGGTCTGTCCAGGAACTACCCAAAGAGGAGCATGGTGGGCGGTCCAGCCCATATTTAGAGGTGGGGTCTGTCCAGGAACTACCCATAAGAGGAGCATGGTGGGCGGTCCAGACGTATTTAAAGGTGGGGTCTGTCCAGTAACTACCTATAAGAGGAGCATGGTGGGGGCGGTTCAGCCGTATTTAAAGGTGGGGTCTGTCCAGGAACTACCCATAAGAGGAGAATGGTGGGCGGTCCAGCCGTATTTAAAGGTGGGGTCTGTCCAGGAACTACCCATAAGAGGAGAATGGTGGGCGGTCCAGCCGTATTTAAAGGTGGGGTCTGTCCAGGACCTACCCATAAGAAGAGCATGGTGGGCGGTCCAGCCGTATTTAGAGGTGGGGTCTGTCCAGGACCTACCCATAAGAGGAGCATGGTGGGCGGTCCAGCCGTATTTAGAGGTGGGGTCTGTCTAAGACCTACCCATAAGAGGAGCATGGTGGGCGGTCCAGCTGTATTTAAAGGTGGGGTCTGTCCAGGACCTACCCATAAGAGGAGCATGGTGGGCGGTCCAGCCGTATTTAGAGGTGGGGTCTGTCCAGGACCTACCCATAAGAGGAGCATGGTGGGCGGTCCAGCCATATTTAGAGGTGGGGTCTGTCCAGGACCTACCCATAAGAGTAGCATGGTGGGCGGTCCAGCTGTATTTAAAGGTGGGGTCTGTCCAGGACCTACCCATAAGAGGAGCATGGTGGGCGGTCCAGACGTATTTAAAGGTGGGGTCTCTCCAGGAACTACCCATAAAAGGAGAATGGTGGGCAGTCCAGCTATATTTAGAGGTTGGGTCTGTCCAGGACCTACCCATAAGATGAGTATAATGGGTGGTTCTTGCATACTTGGAGGCGGGGTCTGGGCACGACCAACCTATTAAATGGGCATGATTAAAGTGTTATTAAGCGTTACCAATTCTTAGGTGTGGTGGCTGCATTTGTTTTCTTTTTTTAGGCTTTCTTCCTCTTCTGTTTTCATCTGGCGATCTAGCCAGTAAGTCTGTTGTTTTTCAAAAGAACAAGCTCTCTTGCAGATATATCAAGCTACAGGGGTGAGACAACTACCACTGACAGGGGTGCTTACAATGATCAGCGGAAAACCTTTATCCCAAAAGGAAAGTCTGTTTGCTGTAACTGATTGTAAAGTGTGAGCTGCAGTTTGGCTTTGATTTGTTAGTGTATCTAAATCTGCTAGTACATTTAACATTCCCCTCCCCCCAGACTGATATTACTGCTGTCCAAAGGTGCCCCTGTGCTCCTTCATCCAGAGTGCGGGAACTCTAATACAGGAGGTGTGCTACTGGCCAGTTCACCAGATGAAAACAGGGGGAAAAAAAACTAAAAAAAGAAAACAAAGCTGCCACCACATCTAATGATTGGTAATCTGCAAAATATTATATTTTTGGTTTTGGGTTTAATATCACTTTAATGGCGTTTGCATAAAAAAAAAACCCCGGGCAGCCAGTGCACCCTGTGAATGCCTAGGATCGTGCTGTTGTTAGATTACAGGCAAAATTCATAGGCCAATCAGAGTGGCTCTGCACCATGTGATTACTGTGAACCAATCACAGAGATCACAGGTGTAAACAAAGCCCTCCCCTGCTGTCTCTGTCACAGGTGTAAACAAAGCCCTCACCTACTGTCTCTGTCAGAGATGTAGCTTTGTTCCCATGGGTCACCAATGAAAGGGGGGGGTACACTAGCCACTGACGAGGAGCACTGGGTAGCCGAGGAGTGCACTGACCAGCGAGAGGACACCCAAAGCAGAGTGACCATAAATGGGGCACATTACCACCAGTCATGGGGTTTCGGAAAATACAACTGATCACCAACTTTTACAGGGGACCCCATCACTGACCACCCACAGGTAAAATAAAGTTCATTAGGGTACGGTGTTGCATGACAGAGTAATTGTCAGTCAAACTATCACAGCGTTGAACATTGGCCCGGTATCAAAGGGGCGTATTTAGATTGCTAGTAGAACTTGCATGGGTGCATGGGGGAGGGGATGTGCGGTAATTACTGAGAATTGGCAAACACACACGGAGAGCGAGGTGCGGAGGGTGAGGATCCCCCACTCATAGTACAGGGAGTGAGCGTTGTCACCCTAGGACAGGAAGTGTGTTACTGGCAGGATCACCAGGTGACAATAAAAGAAAACATTCAGTCTGTGCCCCCCCCCAGCTTTGACAATAGTTGCAGAACTTTAATTGTTTTATATTTTGTTTTTTTTGGATACAAAAACTATCTTCGGCCATCCTTGCAGTCCTGGCTTCTGAGGCCGCTGCGAGCTGCAGCATGCAGAGTCGGCAGATCTCCGACACAAGGTACGGTACGGATGGGCCTTGTATCACCGAGAGTTAACTGCCAGAGGCCCGCTGAGCGTTTCCACATATCGCCTGTGAAATCTATTCCGAGGATCTCCGCCGAGACCAACAACGCCGAGCTCCTCGACAATTCCGGAAGAGGGGGGAGAAGAAACTGCCGCCTGGATCGGGGACCTCTTCACAGATTAGCGGGCCCTCCCATTAGGAATCCATTGTGAGCGTTTTGTTATCGCAGATAAAAGAGCACCAGGGACGAGTCTCCACGCTGCTCCGCGCTGATAACACCGCCATTATGTTCGCCCGCCACTCGGAGAACATCAATGTCGGGTATCAATAGCCGGCAGACTGGCA